GAGAGGCGGAGGGGGTCCTGGGGTTGGGGAGGGGGCGTTGCTCTGAGCAGGGGATGAACTTGCAGTCAGAGGCCAAGGGACCTTCCAGCAGGGGTTCGGCCTCATTCTGCAGCGCCGGGGCCTGGCTGTTCTGGGACCCAAGTCATGTTGTGACTGTCCGTCTGTTCCCAGGGTCCGGGCCGCCTCTAGCCAACACTGGGGCGGAGCGCGGGCAAGTTGGCATGACAAAGGACTACCCGCCTCAGACCCAGACCCTGGCCCATCTTCTGAGCGTTCGAGAGTATTGGCGAAGGCTGGGAGCTGGCAGACCTTCTTACAGGTCAAGGGTCACCTATGAGGAGAGGTCCTGCCCCGGCCAATTAGCTCCGTTGGTGAGAGTGTCACCCTGATACGCCAAGGTTGCAGGTTCGATCCCAGTCAGGGCACAAGAACCAACTGGTGAGTGCATAAACGCTGATACGCACAAGTCTCTCTCTCTCTCTCTCTCTCTCTCTCTCTCAAATCAATAAATAAAAATTTTAAAGAACGAAGAAGCAGTCCTGTGGCTGTGTGTGCTCGCTGCCTTCCTGCCTCTCTTTCCTGGACAGTGTCTGACCCCGGGTGTCCCTAGACGCACACCTGGAGACACAGGTGCAGGTGCCTGTCGTCCCTGAAGGAGGTGAGGCCAGGAGGGGAAGCAGCTGGTGAGGGCGTGTCATCGAGCAGGACGGCACTGCGAGCAGCCGGGACCCAGTCCCCCGGCCAGTGTGGGACACGGGCCTCCCGGACGCCCCAGAGTGTGGGCAGAGCCTTGTCCGTGAGCAAAGCGTCCGCATCCACTCGCTGAGGCTGGCGGCTGGAGGCCTGCCCGGAAACGGTGGCCAAGGTCAGCGGCCGATCCTGGCCAGGCTGCTGTGCTTCCACTCCGCTGGGCCCACTCGCTCACCACTTAGGGAACTCCGTCCCCTTCCTCCTGGGGTGATTCACGCTGCCCTACAGCCCCGCCCAGCGCCCACGATTCCCTCTCCAGGCCCCTTCCCCTCTCCTTTCCCGCAATGAAGCACTGGAAAGCCTCCTGTCTTTAGAGACCCCCCAGCACCCCAAGCCCCGCCAGCCTCTCCTTCCTCCCTCCAGTCAAACTCCCGAAGCAGTCTGTTCTCACGGCTACCACCGGGGTACCTGCCCCGCATGTCTGCTGCCACGGCTCCCCCAGAACGGCTCTTGCACAGTCACCATGGAACCCCCTGCAGCTAAAACTTCAGGGCCTTTGTCTCAGCCCAAGTGTCCGGGGATCCCGGCGACCCCGGCTTCCGCCGGCTGCTGTGCTGCCTCTCTCCCCTCCATCCCCAGGAAGCGGCCCCCCACGATCCGCCCTGGCCTTTCTCCCCTGCACACAGGCCGCCTCGGGCTGGGTCGCTCCCGGGCCACTGGCCTCACTCGCATCCAGATCTCCACCAGGTGCCTCCGCTCAGGCGGACAGGGCCTGGGGCTATCGCTCAGGGTTCCGGAAGATGCCGGCGCAGAGCCAGGGGTGGACTGGGGATGACCCTCAACCCCTCTGATCCCAGGTGCGCCTCCGGGGTTGGTACCCGCCCGAGCCCAGCTCAGGCCAGACGTGGCTCTGATGGCAGCTCTCCGAGGTCCGTCTGGGACAGACCGGCACCCAGAGGCGGGGACCAGCCTCCTGGCGTCTCAGAGCCCCCGCC